AGGTTAATAGTGGTAAATATTCACAGTACACTCATGCTACGAATATAGAAATTTCGCATGATCAGATTCAGTAGGAAAGGAGTTACGACTGAAAAGTACGGCTGGAGCACCATTCCACCGAAGACTTTTGAGCGCTACTGTATATCCTGTAGCTGTAATATGGGCAAAAATACGACCCATAATTGTTCGATGGACAACTTTACTGGAACGCGTAAGAGTAAGGTGCTGTCACAACCCTTGGTGTTTTTACGTTGGACTTGTGAAAACATTTTGACACATCAAAATGTGTCCCCCTCTCTAATCTTATCAGTTGAACTTTTCCGTGGTTTACAATTCTGCGAACTGAACGGTCGGCAGTCTCACGTCTCAGCCGCCTACCACTTTTCATGCATGCCGCTGAATATTACTTTTCCCTCGAGAAATCCAAGCAGTGCTATATTTCCCTTCTTTAAGGCCTTCCTGCTCTTTCCTCTTTGAATTTTTCGAGTTCCCGAGAAGCGCAAAAAGCCTACGCAGCGATAATTTCTGAGTACATACAATTGACTAATCAGTAATCGATTGGTGACTCCTACGTATGACGACTTGATGATCACTTTTATAAACATTCTCCATGGCGCAGATTGCTCGGGAAAATAGCGAAGGAATTTCACTGCTGGATTGAATGGAATTGCAAATCGATTACCGTAACATGATGTGAATTTATCCACGCGCCCTTTGCCCCATCATTGCAATTGCAAATGGATTCTGAGTGATCTTTACAGAAAACCTATTGATTTTCAATGATAAGTGACAATAATGCTGCAATATTCTTGAACTCAGTCATAACTAGACCAGTTAACAATCGCCACTTATACGCTTGGTAGGGACTACTTGAGCTTTTCGGTTACAGTTATGTGTCGCTGCCTCCGTACATACTTCCGCTCTGACGTGTACTATGAGCAAGCTCCGCCCACCCCTTAGAAGTCGTTTCCTATTATCAGCACGTTCCGCAGATCGAATCTCACCACGAACCCGTGCTTTTACTGCTATCTCTTTATGGCTCGACTGATACGAGCTATTTTATGCTATATCCATTATGGACGCGGAGAATCCGCTGCTAAGTATAACCTGAAATCGGCATGAGCGAATAACACCAGCCAGTGTCCCCTTAAACGTGTGCTTTCAATGAGGACCTTCTTATCATGTCTCTAGTTCAGCAGCTCCTATGAACAATAGGAGACCGCTATTTGTTACTGGTATCAGCTGTCGTAATAGAGCCGAAAGTTCCCTGTCGGTGTTCATTGTTAATCCTATTGGAAGCGCTCACACCATTACAAGCAGCAGCTATCAACTCATATAGTTTTTCTACTGCAAAAGAGTGCTGAGTAATAATGATTTATTCAGTCCCGTACAGACTAACTGAATTGATAAGTGAATGAGGAACTACCTGAAAGAAGGAGGGATTTGAACTATCTATGCTGCCCCAGCCCTAACCTTAACATTTCATCACTATCTCCTGAGAGCTAACTCCATCTATTACTACACCAGCGCAACAGTGATACCCTGAATGAAGTTTTACTCAGCTCTGAACTTCCATCCTGCTCATTTTTTCCTGCAGATCTGATAATTAGCGTAGTCTTACAGGACTCTCTCTTTATCAACCCATAGACCGTGAGCCATTCAGGTGCTTGACTTGTTTGGTTTCTGATCATATTCAAGTTGAATCCTCTTACAAGCTGGCGAATCCATATAAACGGCAAGTTTCTTCTCCGACGTGGGTCAGTCTGCTCCCAAGTAGTACCCCTGCAGGACGTTCAAGAGATAAAGTCACTTTCGGGGTGAATGGATATTATAACGAAGAATCTCAGAAGAAATGGTTCACGAGGTTGTGTTACTTTCAACGACGAAAAAGTGGTCGGGCACCACTGATAAGAGTACTAATCAGGCTGTCATAAACTTCAAATGGATAAGGCTGCCATTACGTAAATCAAGGCCTAAGGAAATCCCAGAAGGGTGTACTCTATTCAGTAGATTGCTGCCTAATGGAGCAGCTTCTTGTAAGCTATCAAGAACATCTTCTATAAGCGCTCCAGTTGCAGAATTTTTGGAAGTTTTGCATTTTTATGCACTTTATTATTTTCGTGACCCCTTTCCATTAATTATTATTCTGCTAAGAGAACGTCCTATGGAGGTCGGTTTGTCGAATGATATGATTGATAATCCTTTCGAGTAACAAAACACTTCGTTTCATTTTGAGTATTGATTAGTAGCGTCTTCGAGAAATTACATCAAACATTTCTTTTTTGAGTTTTCCGCTGATCAGGGCCGCTTCTTATTCACCAAGTTGAAAGGCTGAGTAATCTCGAGTAGCGAAGGGTGGGAGCCAGCCAAGATGGTTAGGGAACAAAAACTGGACCTTGAGCCCCAAGTACCCATGGCGAAGAGGTGTTTCTGAGGGAGACTTCGAGAGCGTGGCTTACTCCAAAAAAGGTTCCTAAACCGAGTATTGCTTTACGGGGCCTGCTCAGAGAGGGTACATCTATAGCGTCAAAATCGATTGGAAGTTTCGATTGTTCAGTTTACAATAGAGGCACTTTCGACCGAACCTTTTCGATGTTCAAATAAAAGCGATGTTTGTCGAATTTCCTACCCAAAGTGATGACTCAGGGAACGGAAATTATGGTAGCACTGGAAAAGAAGTGATCGATTTGTAAGAAATGGTTTTTTTTCTCGGATTTTCAAAGTCGCCTCAAAGTCTACCGTAAGTTGGAGTTATATTAATCTTTAAAACTCACTATTTTTCACCATCACACGAAATTGCGTTCAGTGGAAAGGGCATTCTGTGAAAAATATAATTCCCTATGACTTCTTTTGTGAACGAAATGGCCCTGAAACTTGTTTTGCCATTTCACTGGTGAAAATTGTCGAGCAGAAAATTTTGCTATTCCTTATAGAGGAATCGATTATCTGTTTTTATCGAAAATCAGGATTTGGTTACCAAAGGAAGTTTTGTAATTGGCTTTCAGTAGTTGACATGATCGACATGACAACGAGGCTGTTATGGCCAGGTCGGATAGTAAAAATAGTAATCGAGTAATTAGATGAGAACTAAATAAATTTATCATCTGTCTACGGCAAATTATTTAAGCGGTTCCATGGTGAGTCACTAAAAATTGCAATTGGCAACGAACTGCTCCCTGAAATTTTGGGTCCTCTAAATGAAAAAGCCTTCCAATTCTGTGAACGCCAGATTTGGGGACTGACTTCTTTATAGGCTGACTATTACTTTAATAATTCATTGGGCTAGTATGTCCTTCAAGGCCTCACTCAGTCCCACGTATTCCCTAGGGATCGTTCTATGAGCCAGGAGAACCCATTCAGTGATGAACAGTTCCTTTTTGAAGTACATATGTTTGGACACATTTCCAATCCAGACTTTCAGAAGACCTGACCTGAGCCCCAGCTTATCGATCCTAGGGATAATTCTGAGATGAGGTCCGAACCTGGATTTGATGCTTAGACCACGTTTATAGTAGCAACGTCATGTACCCCTCTGCCACACTCGCCCTAAAACGGACAGATGAACTGCGATGATGCTGATGAATATTCAGTGATGCAAATGGTTTCTTTACACTTTCATCTTTACTGATCACATTTTGCGATGATTCTGCCGCTCGGCAATTTCATTCTTTGACACGAGTTTTTGCTATTATCATTATCAATTCTCGCATCTGATCTGATACAGCGTTGCAAAAAGCGACAGGCGACGAGCGGCGGCGTTCGACGGCTATCGGCACTCCAAGTGCACCGCCAAGCCGTCCCAGTGAACTTCCTACTGTATCGCTCTGTTCGCCTTTCTACCCACTATGGACGGAATCGACTATAACGTCAACGCCGCTCTTCCAAAATCTTATGATGGCGGATCGAAGGCGGATACTGTACGATATATGGACGATTATAGCCCTAGCCATTCAATCGGAGAGCATTCTAATGCCCAAGGACAAGAAGTCGTCGGAGAGCAGGTCAGCGAGAAGCTTATTTATGAAGGGCATTGGAATTATCCAGATTTCGCCTATAAACACGATGTGAACATTTATGCTAGTACTGTTTACAAGCCTGATGACGTCTCGAATTCAATGAAAGTCGAAAATGCGGTCGAATACGGTCAATGTGACTGTACTGAACAGCCCACCTCGATCGATGTACCGGCCACTAAAACACCCGATAAGGACGGAGCAGAAGTGATCGAGGAGGTGTTCTGTAACGCAAATCAGAGCAAAGGAGAGTCAGAGCATCCAACTGCTCATGCAGCGGCAATGCTACCATCGAAAGAAGCTGTTCGAGAAAGTTATGAGGTCAAGGAGAACCAGGAAGCCTGCTATGCTGAGGAACAATATCATTATTCCCATACGGAGGCCAAGGAAATCGTTGAAAAGCCAGTCGAGGATATAAAGGAAGCAAGTACGCATGGAGACGAGTTCAACGCTAATCTCGAAGAGCTCCCTTCAACTACGATTGAATGTGACGTAATTGCTTCACAAGAAGGCTCTACCGGAAAGGGAGTGAGTAAGTCATTCAGTGAAAAGTCGATCGAACATGCTTCGATTTCTGCTGACTTGAAGGTGAATCAGACACCCTCTGACTTGTCGAACTTAACGGCTCGTTCTAAGGAAGAATATGTCACCACCGAAGAAAAAACGCTTCAGCCCCAAAATGACACCGCCGCGGCGCCGAGTGATTCGTTGACAATTCCAGAGAAACCGCCTCACAGTAACGTCGCCGAAAGTACGACAATGGCCTCGGAAACAGTGGCGATTCGCACCACTGTAGCTTCTGCTCCGCCAACGCCTCCACCTAGGCGAAATTCAATTCTGCCCGATGGCCTGCCGCCAGCGACACCAACGCCAACAATGCGATCGTTTCATCGACAGCCATCTATATCCTCAAGCCGTACCAATACGATGAATTATAACTACGCACTCGGACGACTATCATTCCCCACGTTGCCGAGAAACGCACGTCCGCCAAGAAAAGGTGGGCCTTTAAAAACTTTCAGTTGCTTCCTGATTTCCTTAGGTGTCTTGAGTAACGCACTACCTTTTGATAAGCTTCTCGTCTCTTATTAAAGAAAGTAATCAATAGTCGCTTGCCGATTAAAAATTCGTGCTGCTTTTTGAAACCAGCCTATTATCGCCAATTTTATTTTTCAAGCTGCCAAGTACTTGATTTGACTACATCTGACTTCTCAGCCACTACTATACCTTCTCGAATAGAACTGGAACAAGTTTTCAGGAATCGTAAAACTTTTTGTAGTATAATCTAATTTCGTTAGTATTTTCTCGAGCAGAGTGCCTTCTGAACGGCTCCATCAAGTCTTTCCTTTCTTCATATCTTCCTAATTCTCTCGCTCAGCGATTCTCGTATCGATTTGGAAGAAAGATGTGTTTTCAGTGGTTTTACTATTCTCTGAACACTGCGTTTCTTAGGTTTTTTTCCAAACCTTCATAGAAAGAGGTCCATATAGGTAATCCTACGTAAGCTTCCGGAGCCTTCAATTAGCGTTGACCCAAGGCACACCCTGCTGCAATTACTTGTTAGTATTCAATTGTTGCTGTGTTAAAAGTTGCCCGTTAACGACTATCATTCCATACGCTCGGCTTACGTCTATCTATCTTTTTGCCCTGTTTCTATGATACATTTTATCTAAAGACTTTCTGGAATGTCAAATCGGTTGTACCCAGGGTATGTTACTCCTTAGTCTCCCTTCTTCTCAACAAATGGGCACTAACGTCTGTGTCTGTGAAAAACAGTGTGGTATCTTAATCTTCACTGGCCCATCTCACCGGGGCACGCAGCCGTTCTGAGTCGAGTCTGAGTTACCTTTGATTTTGTCGGAGTGATTGGACGAGTTATCAGCTGATGCAAGCAAGTATTGAAGTTGTCGTTTCTGCTTCCCATACCATTCTGGAGGGAGTTTCTGAATGGGAACATTATATGAAATGGAAAAATGATTGGTTTGGCCCTGTAGACTGAGTAGATGCACTGCAGTGGCTATGGTTCTAGCGCTGTTCCAATTTCCTACCACTTCTATTACAAATTGGCTGTATGGCATTGTTACGAAACGGAGAAGAATGGAACGTCTGTTTTGGGTTTTCTACTGTAAAAACAAATTGATGAATAGTGTGCATACCCAATCAAGACTTTCAACGTTAACGGCAGTTACTGGCCTTTTTTTCGAACTATGCAACACGTTCGATTAACAGTTGGCAATTTGCTGCCCCTTTGGCCTCTACAAGGGCCTATCACCTATTTAGTCGATACAAAAGCCGTACTTTCATTCTC